TGACACAGGCGGACTTAATGCCGTAGGCATTTTCTACCAGTCGACCTTAGGGCGATGAGGAGTTTAAAAAAAAATGGTAGATGCACAGAAATTAGAAATGTGATTTAAAAGAAAAAAAAAAGTATAAATAGAATGTGTAGAAAAATATTAATTAACAACATTTAGTAAAATAATTTGAATATTTATTGAAAGGAACTACTGAATTATTTATGAATAGACAGCTCTGTCTCGACAGACGTTGTCTTGTGCACCCGATTGGCAGCGCCGGGTACAATCTGAACCATTAAAATTCAAACTTTCTTTAATATCATGAAGATTCCTAGGCAATCACGTCAACTTAAAACTGAAATCTATTGTGACCTCAAAAACAGCTCAGCTGAGAAGAAACTCAGCGAGGGTTTTTTATCAGGGGAATTCAGGAAACCACACTCAAAACCACAACAAAAAATCGTAAAATAGAATATAACCCTAGAACCCGATTGAAGTGCCACCTACTTACTGGGTGTAATTGTTAATCTAAGCCATCTACGACCCACTTAAACACACGAAACCAATGGTGAAAACCCAACCCAAATAGAATCAGTAGTTTTTGAGAAAATCGCGGACAACCATATATACGTACATACGTACAAACATACAGGTCAAACTGAGAACCTCCTTTTTTGAAGTCGGTTACCAAAAGAACTACATACTTATAGACATAAAGTAAAAAATAATTCCCTCCCTTATATTGTGCCATAGTTGGGTAAAAATGCAATGTAGACTCTGCCTTACGTATTCCTATTTTGTTACTTCATATTCTTCTTATACATAACCACGCAAAAGTAACCAAAGAGGAAGTAACGAACATAGACCATAAGTTTTATTTCATGTATTTCTACAATAAAATCTGATAAAATCGACTGTATGTAATAAGATATCAAAAATTTATTAAACAATTATCTATTCTTAATACTATAAACATTAAAAATTATAAACTTACCCTTGTTAATACAGTTACAAAACAAGAAGAAAATTGTGAATCCGGCGAGCACCACACAATGAAACGATATTTTCAAATGAATTTGACAAGTGGCAATGCTACTTTTAGCTTTACGTTCTTCTCAAACGTTAAGAGTGCACAGAAAACCATAATCTACTATAGTCTGTTTTTTAATCTCGTAGACTAAACTGACATTACGAGTGTTGTCAGTTTATTGCAATTCTTAAATAGTGATGTGACACAACCGAAACTTAGCGTTAATAAAATCAAGTATCGTTTTTTTACAATAAGTTATCCTGAAATAATGTGTTTATCCTGAAATAATGTGTAGGTACTTATTTAAAACGTAATAATACAACATTATAAAGTAAAACATATATTTTTAATTACATAACTTAATTACAGGTATTCGCGTTAATCTGATTCAGATAATGACTCTGTCTGAGGAATATTCTGAATCATCAGAATCGCCACCTACTTCTATGATAAACCTATCAGTAATGTCGTCGGTTATATGGTCCAGATGACACATTTGATCTTCAATTTTAATTACATGGACTACACAATCTTTCCACCGCTGCGGGGTCACTTGACGAAGCCCTTCTTCAAAAAGGCTTCGTACTTCATTCATTTTGAATGTTTTATTATTTTTAGCGACATGCCCCTTTACTTGAGCCCAGACCAACTCAATCGGGTTTAGCTCGCAGTGGTAAGGGGGCAGTCGCAAAATAGTGACACCCCGTTCAGCAGCCATCTCGTCGACGACATACCTTTCATGGGCTTTTTTGTGCTTTCGGGCAATTTCATTTAATTCGGGCTTTAACATTGTCTCGTCATATGAAATATTTTTTGATTTTAGCCAATCTTGGATTTGTCCTTTTCGCCAACTAGAAGTAGGTAACGATTCCAGTTTCCTGGTGTGATATGGAGCATTATCTATTACAAGTACTGCGTTTCCTTTTAATTTCGGCAAAATATTTTTTAACTAGTTTTCGTAAATATCAGAAGTCATCTCCTTGTGGTAATCATCTAACCCCTTTTTCGCTTCGAATATTAATAGACCATCATCCACGAAACCCTCTTCGCTTCCAACATGGGACACTACAAGTCGTCTCCCCTTGCCTGAAGGCCCTTTTAACCCAGTGGTTAACCCTTCTAAGAAAGCCTGACGTGATGATTTCACACTGGTGTCAACCCAGTGCTTATTCTCAGTATGACCTAAAATGAATTAGTATGTGTGTGAACAAAATAATAAAAAAACATAAATACCTACCAATATAATAAAAACGACAGTCAAACGACAGTGTATACGTACGTGAATTTTAAATATAAAACTTTGAATGAAAATTATATTCGTCTATTATAAATAAAAAGTTACGATTCAACAAACCGGTATCGTAGGTCCAACACTGCACAAAAGTGCTGGCAACATTATTTGTAAATTTGACATTTGCATGTGTCAATTTAGTCTACGAGATTAAAAAACAGGCTATAACTTGTTTTTAAATATTTTCCATAAACCACGTAACAAAATAAGAAACGGCATAAGGAACTTTTTGAAGACATGTTATAAAATATATTTATTTTTAAAATAAGCATTGTTTTTCGCAAAATTGTATATTCGAAGGATAAATTGATAGTAACAGCGTAAAATAGCACCAAAAAATTTAATGCCAGCCCATAATATTTCAAAATAAAGCTTATGGAAAGTCATACACTGCTAAATGGGACACATCACTCTCCATACATTTGCACACTCAATAGTTTATCTTTTTTTGTTTTTTTCATAAATTATCAATTTGTCATAAGAATGAAAGCAGGAATGTAAACAGTAATTCAGTGATTTTATTTATTTAATTATTATCTTGAACATAATATTTTGCTACCATTTAAAAAAATTAAGTCAATTTATGGGACAACACTACAATAATCATTCAGCATTATTTTGAGAATTGCTCATTAGAGTAAGGTCGTTTTTCGTTATTGGTTTTCTGGTGGTTTTAGATGTTGATGGAGAGTTTTTTTTACTGTTGGCGACACTGATCTAAAATAGTTTTGTACTCTGTACTCAAAATTACAAAAGTATCGAAAATGAAATAGTATCGGAACAAAAGTATCGAAACCTGTAGGTATCAAGTATTTTTTAATACATTTATAAAAACCTGAATGGAATGTTGTTTGTGATGCAAGAATTGAAGATTGATATCATTCAAACCAATGAAACTCGGTCCGATGTTGTCTACCAATGCGCAACGTGTTATAAAACTACCACAAACTAAAGGGTTGCTCGAATTGCTTTTCAAAGATGCCTTCAAAGAAGAACAAGAATTAGAACATTTAATTATTGCAATTAATTTGTGATAGACAATAATGGTCCTAGTTTCATTGGTTTGAATGATATCAATCTTCGTAAACAAGTGGGCACATGAAATGTTTCTTTTTTGGCGTACTAATACGCCAAAAAAACACATTCTCCGTACCCACTTGTTTTTAGTATTTTAAAACAAATTTTACATAAAGCTGTATCATTTTCATTTTTTATAATACTTTTAATACGTTTTCTCCTGGCGGCAGCATCAGCGAAAGAATAATGTCCTACGGTAGGCACCTCTATAACTTACATACCTACTTTGGTGACTTAGTGTTGCTACTTGTTATTTCAGGAATATGTCAGCGACGTACTTTCCCATAACTAAGGAACTGAAAGATGTTGTACAAATAATGCAATAATACCATTAAAAGCCTGTAATTTTCAGAAAACTGAATAAGTGAAATAGTTTAAAAGACAAAAAAACACTACACAGATTATAGTTACTACAACTACACAGTTAGCCAGAGAGTCACAGGTACGCTACGAGCCTTCTATCGGCTTAAAAACTTCCTTCCTTCCGAGACAAAAGTGATGCTAGTACAGACTCTTATTGTCTTGGATTATGGTGATGTATGCTATTATGACCTGAATGCAGATCTCCTCAATAAATACGACCGCCTTCTGAATAACTGCATTCGATTCGTCTTTAACCTTCGCAAATACGACCATGTTTCTTCCTCTCGTCGTGAATTGAACTGGCTCACGATTCGTCAGCGCCGTCAGCTGCACGCCCTCACCACCCTCTATTCCATACTCAACTCACCTATTTCCCCTTCCTACCTAACATCCTCATTTCATTTTCTATGTGCCAATCACAACAGAACTCTCCGTTCATTAAACGATCCGCTTCTGTTATGCCCCACTCATACTTCCGCATGTGTCCACTCTTCGTTCTTAGTCCAATCTGTCCTCCTCTGGAACGCTCGGCCTTTGGAAATCAGGATAACAGACTCATCACATCCCTAAAGTCTTATATGTTATTATGTGAGCCTTGTATGTATTACTCAGCAAGTATATATATGTATGTGTATCTCAGTATGTATGTAACCTAATTTTAATTTCATGCACCTATTTAGACATTTCCCCACCACCCAAAGGTAGACTGGGAGAAAATGCCTTTGGCATTAAGTCCGCCATTGTACTTTGTTTGTGCAAAAAGAATTAAAATAAATAAATAAATAAATTATATTATTCAACCCGTTAAAGTCCATTTATCGCAGGTCGCATTACAGCCAGCCAAGCGGCATCAGCTGATCAAAAAAAAGTTTCACTTACATCATGGTTTCATAAAACCACACCACAATTTTTTTTAATTTTTTTAAGGTTTCCATTTATTAGAAATGGGGAGAAGGAAAGTATAAATACTGTTAGAAAGTATCGATACTAAACAATCGAATCAAAAGAATCGATTAAAGGTTTCGATACGTTGAGGTATCGATACTTTTTGCGTATCCCTATCAGTGGTGTTATGTCAGTTGTGTGTCGATGTGTATTTCGCATTGTGAAAAATGAATCTTATTTAGTTTTGTTCATACTTTCGTATGATACACAGTGTCTTTTGTGGTATTTAGTTTTGTGTTGATAACATACAGTTTGAACGTGTTGTTGATTAAGTAAGAAGTGCAACAGTGCTTAAAATAAGTAATCATGGCGGACCCACTGAGCTTGCTTCGCCAGTATAACGTAAATAAAAAAGAAATAATTGAACGTGATAATCAGATTATATTTGGCGAATTTTCTTGGCCAAAAAACGTCAAAACTAACTATCTTATGTGGGGGTGAGTACCATTGCTACTTTTAAACATATTGAATTGTCTCAATGTGTTATTTAATAACAAATGTGTTATTTCTAGCTCTGGAAAAGAAGGAAACGACAAGGAATATTACACGCTGGAATGTCTCCTCTTTATCCTAAAGAATATACTTTTGACACATCCCGTTTACGTCAGACAAGCAGCTGTAAGTAAACCTGGTATAGTAGTTAAAGATCCCTTAAATTAGTTCTCTCTAAATTAGTGTTCCTTCTAAGAGAAAGTTTTTCCACCAGGCTGCAAATATCCCTGCTGTACGCCGCCCTGATCGTAAAGAGTTATTAGCATATCTGAAGGGTGAAACTGCAACTTGTGCCTCTATTGACAAGAGTGCACCCTTAGAAATACCTACACAGGTAATATTTTAATTTAATACCATGTGTCAATTTAAAAACATGTGTCAATTAAATAACGTGTTATTTAAATACATGTGTTAATTAAATATCATGTGTTATTTAAATAAGATGTGTTATTTATTACTGTACTTTAGTACAGTATGGCAAGTGGTTTTACACTCATTGTTTGTATCAAACAATAACCAAATTGTGAAAACAAGCCAAAATTTGTACATTTGTACTTTCTTCCAGAAAACATGTTTCCCAAAATAAAATTCTCTATAGCTAATTTCTGAAAAATTGATATATTATCATGATGTCCAATCAGAAGTTAACACATGACCAATTAAAAAACTTTTATAGTGCATCTAACACTATGAGTGAAAATCAAAATATTATTATTCATTGCATCTAGTACTAATGGCATATTGTTAAGGTGTTCTTGAGGTATTTAAACACCACAGACTTATTTGTATATACAATGCCTGCCACTTATTAATGGGTGGTATCGCAGTAAATCTTCTCTCCTAATAATTTATTAACATATATGTTTGAGGTTGTTCGCCCTACAATCTACATAAACCTACCTACTCCGACCTCTGTTAAAAGCAAAAGCTGGATGATTACATCCAGCCTTTTCATTTAAAACTCTTACTTTGCACAGTTGTGACACTATACAAATGTCCTAGAGGTAATCATTGTGTTACAGATAATAGATATCCTATTTAAAATAAATTGACTTCTCGTATCCCCGTTTGGGCATTCTGAGTGTGCTGCTAGTGTTAAAAAACTCAAAGCAGTAGAGATCAAAACTATATCCCTATCAATGTCGGATTACCTTAGTTAAGAGTTACAAGATTTGCAAAGGTATACTAGTGTCTAGTTCTCTATTTATTTTTACTTTAAGAAATATAGTCCTTGACACACAGATTTAGAAATACCTCATATTTATTTTAACCAACATCTATCCTGGGCTAGACAACTTACTCGTGAAGCACACAACCGGGTACAAAAGACAGTCAGATTGCTGACAGTCCAAACTGGTGCTGACTGAAGTCTTCACCAATTTGGACCGGAGCCCACAACCAATACCAATTCTGCATATTGAATTTGGTTGAATGATATTTAATAAACATTCACTTTACTTTGGATACAAATTTTGTTTTATCAATCTACCATGTGGCTACCTAGTGTAGAAGTTTATATTATTTATCGTTGATGTTTAGTATACCACAAGTAACATTTACTGTCCCCAGGTGAAACGCACTCACGACAATGATGGAGGAGAACCAGCAGCCAAAAAGCCTCGTATTGAGGAAACGCATGTACAGAAAGTACGTGAACAACTTGCTGCTCGTCTTGATGCACCTAAAGAAGCATCTGTCACCGTGGATAATATTAAGTAAGATAATGTTACCCAAGAGATTGTATGAAAATGTGTTTAAGATTGCATAAAATATTTAAATTTAATAATAATTATATCACTGTTTTTACTTTCAGAGGGTCATTAATACAGGCTATGTCTGTTGAGAAGATAGCAGCTATCAAAGCAAAACGTCTAGCTAAGAAAAAAATAACCATCAAGAAGAATGACTACTCAGATACACTCGGTGTTGTTGGATCTGACTTCAGAGCTATGCTAGATTATGACGTAGAACTTACCAAAGATATTATCAGCAGAGAAAGACAGTGGAGAACTAGAACGACAGTATTACAGAGTAATGGAAAAGTAAGTATTTATGGTAATAAACATTCATAATTTATTCTGAGTTGCTAATAACATTATTGTTACTGTTTACATATATTACTAGCTGACTCGCGCAACTTCGTCTGCGTCTTTTAAAAGGAATAATTTTTCCCCCTTTTTGCAACATTTTGCATTGGTGCTCCGCTCCTATTGGTCTTAGCGTGATGATATATAGCCTATAGCCTTCCTCGATAAATGGGCTATCTAACACTGAAAGAATTTTTCAAATCGGATCAGTACTTCCCGAGATTAGCGCGTTCAAACAAACAAACAAACAAACAAACTCTTCAGCTTTATAATATTAGTATAGATATATATTTTAAGAGTATAAATATAGTTTGCATATAAGAGAATACGAAGTTATGAATATGTAAAGAAATAGAGCTAAAATATTTTTTCATTAAATAATATGAACACAACTATTTCTATAAGTTTGTCCTTAACTAATATATTTTTTAATTTAAACGATGTTTTTTTTAGATGTTCGCAAAAAGTATCCTGGCTCTACTAGGCAGTATTCGAGCCCGCGAGGAAGGTAGACCGGGAGCTCCTCGTCCACCACCCATAGTGATGCCGCAACCGACCACACTGCCCGCTCAACAGACACAATATAACCGATACGATCAGGAAAGATTTATTAGACAAAAAGAAGGTATGTTTTCGTTCTGCTTTGTCATTTTAGCAGAAATACATCAATCATCATATTTTGTTTTCGTATAAAATTATGTTTATGAATACTGTTCATAAAATTAAGAGCATATAATAAAAAGATATTTTATTTTTACAGAAACTGAGGGTTTCAAGATCGATACTATGGGTACATATCATGGTATGACACTGAAATCAGTGACAGAAGGACCAAGTGTGCCTGCTGCAGCCCGTGCACCGCAAACGCCGAATCATCCTAGACAAATGCCACGTTAGTACCTTTATTTTAATAGTATTTTAACAATGTTTATAAGAGCTAACCCAGTCTTATGACTGGAAATTAGTGACTTTTAATTAAGGGACTAGTAGTTGTGTAACACTGGAATTGTTACTTGTATGAAAGTGCAATATCTCAGCATTATGAGGAGGTCCTGATAAAATTATATATACATATATATATATATATCATCATATATATAATTTTTAAGACGTTTATTTATAAAGCAAATTAATACCTAAATCTTCAAATAGAAGGCAAGCAAGTTTTGTATATTCACAATAAAATAGTTTTTTTTTCCTGGATCACTCCTATGAAACACCAAAATATGTTAATGACATTTTGTGTAGGTAAACAGCTAATTTTAAAACGGCAGGATACTCTTGTGCTAGGTGTATAAGTTATATGTATTGATATATTTGAAATATTTCATTATACCCATATACAGGGTTACTGGGTAAGTCAACCTTAATACGAGTACTTTAAGAGGTTGTAGTTGCCGTAATTTCTTATAGATTTCACTATGAAATACCATATCCCAAAACTTACCATTTTCAAGATATTGGACTTGCAAGATTATTATAAGAATTCTGCGCGCGGCATATGGTTTCAGCATAACTATCATGCTGAAACCATATGCCGCCCTTTGTATTACATACATTAAGTGTAAAAAAATGGCTGGATTCTAATTATCGTAATAAGTGGATTGGAAGAGGTGGCTGGGTGGCTCGTGCGTTTGCAGTATCCGTAGCAAATCATAATATCAGCATATTCCTTGTTTGTATAGGTCGTACTCTTCAATAGTATCAGAAGCACAAAACAAAGTCTACTCAGCAATAGTTAGTCATGAATAGAAAACGAAACAGTCCAAAAATACAAGAAAGTATTCAACTAGACACACCTCATAACACCCCTTTCATCTAAGTTTTTTTTGTGAATTCTGGTACGATCCTAGATTATTATTCCTTGTCAGATAGCTGAGAATACGTTCATGTTTTCATTAATTATAAATTGATTTTCTACAATCGGTGGCTGTAATATTTGTATTTATTATACAGAAAATGGTCCAATGAGCACGCCGGGTCGTCGAGATCTGTTGCCGGTTGCCGCGGCGCGACCTCCACCCGGCTCTGGTGGCAAGCGGCCCTCACGGACACCAATTATTATTATACCCGCCGCCACTACCACACTCATTACCATGTACAATGTGAAGGACATACTACAGGAGCTAAAGTAAGTCATATCTGTTAATACTTCTGATTGTTTTTTGTTTTATTATTTTGTATCATATTTGACATCATAATGGAGATATTGGGGAATGGGGGGAAAATTGTAATCAGTCTTCAGAGTGGTAGTCTGGTAGGCAGTGTGGAGTCTAAAATATTTTTGGCCTTAAAACCATATACACTTTAAAAATTGTGACAATATATTGATTTATTTTCTATTTAAAGTTATGTTAATTGTAACATAATAATGAATTAAATCGCAAGTAAAGGTTAAAAAGTTAAGTAATTACAATAATGTTTTATAACAGTAGACTTGCCATTACATTAAATAATAAGTTTCCTTTTTTTTAAGTCTCGTTATTTCGTTATACTTTTTATTAACACTTGCATAATCCCTTTGGTAGTAATCTGGGAGTTGACAACTTTTCCAAAAATACTGTTAAACGCTTTGTGTTTAAATTAATAGCCGCAAAGTAATATTGAATTCAATTTTTACTTATAAAACAAAACCATATTTTTAATTTAAAAATAAAAAATGATGATGATTATGGTCACGTGACTATGCTTGACGTCATCGTTTGACAGAGAACTTGTTATCTATGTAAGAGATTTCCACGTATATAGTCACTCATCACGATATCTCTGGAACCATTAGAGCTAAAGTTTTGGTAGGAATATTCTTTTCACCGAGTAGAGGTCAGCTAAGAACGGATTTTAAGAAATTAAAAAAATAATAATTTAAATAATGTAAATAGCAAAACAACGTTTCCAGGGTCAGCTAGTTTTATATAACGTAAGTGTAAAGTTTAAGTTTTTTGTATTCAGAAGAACATAATAAAAGAAGAACTCGAATAGTGTGTCACAAGTCAAATCACATTATTATTTCTCTTTTCGCGTTAAATAAAGACAATATAAATGAGACAGCTGATTGGTTAAAAAGCTTTCAAAATTGTACGATTGTGATACATTCTCTTATTGATGCTTCATATTTTGATATTTTTCTCAAGTTTCCCTTGACAAAAATACGATCAAAATAAATTAGTTATTGTAGTTTCTTCATAAATTTTATCAATCAATCATGAGAGGTGCTTTCCGGGCACGGTTGCTTCGGAAAGTACCTGCACTCGGTCGCTAGGAGGGAACTGAGTCCCGCCTGCCACCACTGCGACTGCAGTGAGGACTCGGCCCAGCACACGCTGGCGGTCTGCCCCGCATGGGCGACGCAGCGCCGGGCCCTCACTGCAGTCATCGGAGTGGATCTTTCGCTACCGGCCGTAGTACGCTCCATGGCCGGTAGCGACAGTTGTTTTACCACGGTCGCAACCTTCTGCGAGGAAGTAATCTCGCAGAAGGAGGCGGCGGAGAAGGCCCGGGAGGACGACCTCCAATCGGACCCGATCCGCCGCCGGCGAACCGGGCGGCGGAGGCGCGCCTTTCACCGCCTCATGCCGCCCTGAGTGTGGCCGCGGGTGGACGGGGTGGGTTTCCTCTCCACCCGCATTAGTTTGGCCAGCCGCGAGAGGGCGGAGTCCGCGTGTGCCGGACGTCGCCTAAAGAGAGGAAAATTTTGAGACGGAGCCCGCACCAGGAGCGGGCTGGCGCTAGGAGGGGTCCGGATGTCTTAATAACAGCTGTTCCCGGATCCCTCCTATTACAGGCACAGAGTGGCACACCGTGTGGTTTTAGTCGGTCCGAGTCCGACACACCACCCCACCGCAAACCCCGGTGGGGTGACGGTCCGAGGAGATTTCCACACGTAAAAAAAAAAGGGTTTTGGTTAAGTTTTCCTTCTCTTTGCAGTGCTGTCTTCCTGAGTAGTTTGCTCCCTTAGTCGACTCTTACGACACCCACGGCATGAATAGGGGTGGTGACACTCCGTATTCTTAATCCGTCACCATGTAGATCTATTGAATTAAGTAGTTATTTACAGAATGCCAATTCGTGGATTATTTTGCTTAAAAATTTATTTATGGAACTCTTTGTTACAGATTTGTTTCAATTGAGCAAAAGAAAGCAGAGGGCGCGGTGCGTGAAAACGAAGTGTTATTGCAAAGAAGAAAGGGTCAAACGGGAGAGTTACCTAACAACGCAACTACTATGACGGTACATTTTTTCATTAAACGTTTTCTGAACTCTGACTAATTCTAACTTAAGAAAAATGTTTCTTGAAGAAATTAGTTTATGTGATTGTCTTGTTAAAAAATTAATAATAAAAAAAATTGTTAAATGAAATTCGTTCTCTAAAAATAACTTACAACATTATTATTATTAGGAAATAATCTTTGTTGATAAAGAACACAAAACACCTAGACTCAGAACAACTCTGCGCAAAAACTTGGTTACTGGAAGTATTGGGCAGTATCATTTAAATAGTTTAGGGTTTTTTTTTTAATTTACTAGATTTAAGTGTTTAATATTTACATTTTATGTTTAGGTACCCTACCGCGTCGTAGATAACCCGAGTAGACTATCAGCGGCGGAATGGGACCGCGTGGTTGCCGTGTTCGTTCAGGGCCCCGCTTGGCAATTCAAAGGTTGGCCGTGGGATGGAAACCCAGTGCAGATATTTGCAAACAGTAAGTGCTAATATTTAGTTTTTTGAATTGTAACAATACACTTTTTTTTACATTGAATAAACTTAAGGGCGCTCGTTTACTTGTAAATGTGCTGATCACGACCTCGGTTTTTAACCTCAGTGACGTCCACTAGGGCGTTTACGCTCTGTTCTACAGTGATGTGTATGCCTATCAAATGTCACACAAGCAAAAGGCCTCTTACCAAATGCTTGAACTGCCTGAGCTCAGGCAAGCCGTTTACTTATACACATTGGTACATAAAAGATGAGACATTACATTGTAAAAGGAGAACGTCAGTGATTGTGTAAGCCGTGGGCGAGTGCAGAAGTTTATAGGGTGTTGTTGATTTAATGAAGTATTTATATAGACTCGTCATATTCACACTACACGTCTTCATGGGAACAAAAGTTTATTTACATTCATTTAATTAACTGAAACCCTCTGAGAAACAACACAATTTTTCTATAAGGTGGTTCAAACATAAACCGACCTGTACTTTGAAACTAATTAGAAGGCTATTATTATTTATAGTTACAATATGAATATCAAAAAAAAAGTACCTAATGCTGACAATGCACATTGTATTAAACTTTGTGATATTTATTTTATTGCCGCATATAGATTTACATTATATTTCATGATATCTTATTACAGTGCCGAAATTTTGTTTCAGTATGCGCTTTTCACTTGAAGTTCGACGAGATGAAGTTAGACGCCAACGTGGCTCGCTGGGCCGTCACTGTACTCAACCTCAGTCGCACCAAGCGGCATTTAGACCGTGCTGTATTACTTGGGTTTTGGGAGACACTCGACAAGTATGTTCTCCTTTTATTTTACTGCTACTTCAATCAATGACAAGTTTATTTCATATATGTAGTGTTTTTTTATTGTACAACAGATATTTATAAAACGCTGGTTAATGAAACCAAATAAATGTTTAGTTGTTTCAAGAACAGAGAATTTCATATGAAAAAAAAGAAACATTATTTCCATTAAGAAAAACTGTAGTGTCCAAATTAAAATTACATTGCATGAACAATACCTTCAGTTAGAAACGAATATTTCATATCGATTTAAAGGTTATAATAAGACGTTTTTTGTTTCAGGCACATGATGAAGAATAAACCGCACCTTAGGTTCTAAGTCTCTTAGCTTATATAATTCTATCTATTAATTTGTAAAAGCCATGTGAATATCAGATTGCTCTCAAAAGCAAAGCAAGTCTAAGTCAATTCGTACCATTAAGAAATATTTTGGCATATTTCGATAGAAGACTTATATTATCACATATTGTATAGATTAATAAAATGTTGTTCATTATTGATATACATATACTCCAGTTTTATAGCAGTGTTTTCTTAAAGAGTTACTCTTCCCTTTACTTACAGCTGGTGTTGTACGTAGATAGTAACACTTGTTGACCAATAAGTAATAAAGTAATTATGAAATATTTTAAAACTAAATTTAAAACACATTAGTGAAATTTCAATGATTGACATTTAAGTTTTTTTTTATTCATCATCATCAACAGCCTTTAATAGTCCACTGCTGGACATAAGCCTCTCCTGAGAAAGGAGGTTTTGGCCTACTATACCACGCTGGCCAGACGGGTTGGTAAAGGGTTTGTGTCAAGTTTTCCTTCTCTCTGCAGTGCTGTTGTCCTGCTTAGTTTTTTCCCTTAGTCGGCTCTTACGACACCCACGGGATGAATAGGGGTGGTGACACTCTGTATTCTTAATCCGTCACCACACGTTTTGAAGTTTCATATTCGAGTGCTCAAAAATCCGTGAAAAGATTATCATGATGGATGAATGGAATTTTAATGATTTAGTGGGTCTGAGCCTATTAGAAGAATTTCTGAAAAAACTACGTAAAATAAAACTTTGGCTCCTTAAGAGAGTCAAGTCAAGAGTTCCTTAAGTCCTCTCCCAGCAGTTATGAATTTAGACATGTAAGGTAAAGCAATGCTTTTATTATTTTCAATTGCTGTCTGACAAGCCAAATCGGTATTTTTTTAGTAAACCTACGAATCTGCAATATTTTGATAGTCCAACGCTTTAGCCATTCCTCTACTATTTTGATAGTTAACGAAAACTACAGACGTTAAAGAAAAAGAAAACGAAAGAAATTCTTTACATTATTTTCTTCTTGAAATGCTTAATTCATGTTCAGCACAGGCGTCTACCCATTTTTATGTCAACACAAAAAGTCAGTTTACCTGGTGCTGTTATTATAAAACTAACAGGGATACGGTTGGTCCGTAATTACTCCTGATAATCGGGTAGATTTAGAATTTATTTTTATTCTATAATAGTGATTAATATTTCTTGTTGCATCTTGAATTTCAATAACTTTATAATACTTATTTCTACTGTGACTATCTTAAGCTCATATGCATAACATAACAAATTACGTTATGTCATTTTATATTTATATATCACTAGAATAGTGCAGTATTTTTCGATTGGAGGCGCCGTCAGTCCTTTATATAGGTAAATAGTATATTATAAATACTGCCAAAATATTTCCGATGATATAGAACTGAATTAGGAAGATCTGTGGATCCTTGTTTATTGAACAGTAATAAATTGTTGAACATAATCTGTTTTTTATTTCTATATTAGAACATACCTGTTACATACAATAGAGGTGTTTTAAAGAAAAATTAACACGTGAAAGTAAACTACAAGTTGCTTGTCGGTACAGTTATTCTTATGTACTACTACTTATTTATTTGAATAACATAGTAGGACAATTATATACTAACGATAAATTATATTTCTACATGAGAACAATAAATTGAAAATAAACCCTTTTTAAGTATCTAAGTTAATGTATATATACGAGGACGGGTCAATAAGTCCGTGACTTTTGGAATAAAACACAGATTTTTTGATAAATAAATCATTTTATTTTTCAACGTAGTCTCCCTTGAGCTCTATACACTTTGTCCAACGCTTCTCCAATTTTTTTATCCCTTCCAAAAAATATGATTTGTCGAGGTCCTCAAAATAGGCCTTTGTTTGCGAGATGACTTCATTATTGGAGTCAAATCTTTTTCCACCAAGCCATTTCTTCAGGTTTGGGAACAAAAAGTAGTCACTCGGAGCCAAATCTGGAGAATAGGGCGGATGAGGGAGCAATTCATAGCCCAATTCATGGATTTTTGCCATGGCAACTGCACATGTGTGCACCCTTGCATTGTCTTGGTGGAAAAGAACTTCTTTCTTGGCCAAATGAGGTCGGTTTTTTTTCAAATCGTCATTGAATCAGTCCAATAAGTTGGCATAATATTCCCCATTGATTGATCTTCCCTTTTGAAGGTAGTCAATGTGGATTATCCTGCGTGCATCCCAAAAGACAGTCGCCATAACTTTATTGGCTGACAAACCCACCTTGGCCTTCTTTGGCGCCGATTCATCATTAGAAACCCACTGTTTTGACTGTTGTTTGGTCTCTGGTGTGTTGTGATGGATCCATGTTTCGTCCACGGTTACAAAACGGCGCAAAAACTCCTCCATATTGCGATTAAACAACGCCAAACCTTCCTGTGAAGTTGTTACACGATTGCGTTTGTGGTCGACTGTGAGCAATCGCGGCACCCATCTTGCGGAAAGCTTTCTCATGCCCAAGTGATCATTCAAAATTGAAACCACTGAGCCATGCGAGATCCCTACGGCTTCCACAATCTCTTGCACTTTTAATCTTCGGTCGGCCAACACCATATCGTGCATTTTTTCGATTGTTTCGGGTGAAGAGACCTCAACTGTCAAACTGGTACAGTTTGATTAGATGGACTATAGTCTGTTTTAAGGGGGTATTCTGGTCTCGACCTCCGTCCTCCATAAGCGCAGGCCTGGGGGTGACAGGTGAAGCCATCTGTCACCCTAGCAGAAGCAGGCCGGGGTGGCGGCGAGCGCGTTGCGAAGCGCGCTTGCTTCCAGGGAGCAGAGGCAACATGGGGTTCCCACACGGGGAGGGGTCGTCTACCTGTTGTTGTAGATGGCCCGACGTATGTCGGGGGACCAGGGACTTCCTTTCTGGGGTATACCTGGTTCCCCGGCTATTAGTACCCGAGACGGCGTGCGATTTTAGTCGGTTCGAGTCCGACATGCCACCGATAGGTGGTATCCGAGGGGATTTTTGAACGGAAAAAAAGGGGGTATTCTGGTCTAGAAATTTTAATTTTTTTTTGCTTATTTCAAAGTTTAGACCCTTAAAAATATGTCCTTAAATGGATTTTTCAAAATTCGAATTATTTTCGGAGATACAGTGGATTTTGTGACGCAGCATCTAAGCTGGCCGATCGGAGCAAATCACACAGTAAACAGTTGCGGTTGCCGGACGACTGGAGCACTCGTTCTTTCCGAGAATTCTTTTGTTTCCGACATAAACCTTTATAAATATTCTATATAATATATCTTTATACTTCTATATATACCTTTATACATACTAAATATACCAGGAACTGTACAATACGAAAGTCATAATGTTGATATTGTTTGTCATTTATTATTCTATTCAGTTTAGTTTCAATCTTGTAGAAGTAGACAAGTGCTCTGTGGATAGTTGTGAAGTAATAACGAAATATGGGCTACTTATTATCATAAAAGTTCAAGTTATGAGAATCCACAACACATGTACTGCCCAACTGGTTCTTCAAGCTTGTGTAGAATAAATGGCAACAAGCCTCAGCTGAGAACACTCTTGAAGGGTTTGTCCACGAACATGGGGGATGTTCGTGGACAAACCCTTCAAGAGTGTATGAAAAAGTACTAAAAGTAATTGAGCTCATTTATACCAGTTTATTGTCTGAAGATTTACTACATCGATGTTTGGGGTCCGAAACTCAAAATAATAATGAATCGCTCTATTCATTAAAATGGACTTTGCTCCCAAGCATATTTATGCTGGATCTCAGACAATTCAAATTGCGAATTATTTAGCTGTTGCAATTTTTAATGAAGGTTATTTACCCATCTTAAAAATGATGGAACTTATGGGCATCACCGTTGGTACTGAAGCGCATTCATTTGCTGTCAGACGTAACGATGTTCGGATTGAGCGCTGTTATATTGAGGGTCGCACTTGTTTTAGTTTTTTTTTGGTTGATCCTTATTTGGTGGTAATGGCAACACCTCAGGAGTATATCTACCCTTTCGATTACAAAATAAATGTTGAACATCTTTTTACAGTTGTCGGAGATATCGCGTAACAAACATACAATACGAAATACAGACGAATTGAGAACCTCCTCTTTTGTGTTTTTGAAGTCGTTTAAAAGAAAAAGGACATTCAGCCTATTGATGTTTTGTGTCCCTCGTGTTGCAGCCGCCGGCATTTTTATCAAGTGTTACATGTGTTGTGTTTATATACTTACTTAAAACTTTATTAAATACTTATTACTATTTCATGGTCAAAATTCGGGAAATATACATATTACAAGTCCTTGCATTACTGTCCAAATAAAAACAATCTTTAGAAAAGCTCCACTACAAACATAAGGCTGCAAAGCAAGAAATCTATCTTTTAAATGTTCATAATTCTTGTCTTGTAACCAACCATAGGAACTATTTTATTTTTTTAACGATGCCAAGAACTAATTATATAATTTAATAATAATTGGCAATATGGAAGGTGTCCGAAGCAATAAAAAGAAAGGTGGTTTATTTATCTTTATTAAAATTTCATTTCAATGATAGTATATAACAATAAATAATTCTGATCTCTTTCAGAGATAAGTACACACATTTATGTAATTATAGGTATGTATTTTTTGATATTTTCTGTACACAAAATAAAACCATAATTTTACCCATAACAATATCACATCGTTAGGTGTGTACTTTCTGTGTGCCCGTCTTTACTTAGTATTTAGTTACTATATAATTATGTACTCTTCAAATCGTTCGAGCTGTTAAATATACGATACAAAATATTGGGCATAATATCAAAATACTTTTTAAACAAAATCTAACCATTATTTACCTATAGTGTATTTTAAAAACGAATAAAAAACAATATAACTTTTAATAATATCAAAACATTTAAGATCAATGGTATCGTCTGCCCCGGTAAGGAATGATAGGACCAAAATTTACCGGTCGCAAACATCAACCTTCGAACTAAAACAACCCTTATGTAAGTGAAAGATAGGTAGGTGTTGTAATAGATATACTCCAACAGTGACCATAATTTTTGCATCCATATTGTTTGGTGATATAGATTTAATAAAAAAACATTTTCGGAATATATTTTGTAAGTACAATAGGCACCAAAGGAAATCAAGGAAGAATATTGACACTCACAGAAGGGTTATTTTCTATAAGTACGAGTAGGTATATTGTTACACACACTTTAGTCTTTCAAAAACGATAACATCTGAACCATTATTTCAAATAAGTACCTATTGACAAAAATATAACTTATTTCGTGAAGTTTTTAAGCGTCTGCTTTATTTATAATGAATTATATAATATATCTCACTGACAATTTTGTAACGCTTGATTAAAAAGATTAAGTAATTGTGGCATTCTGCAGATAGGTATTTGATTTCATTATATCCCAGCCAACACCTGAAACAAAACTATTCCCTGTACCTAACTATTACACTTTATGCAATTCGAATATGACTAAATATATTATATTAGCAAAATAAAACACATTTCTATACCTACTGTAGTAATTCTATAGCTGGCTAATGAGAAATGAGCTATAAACTATGAGTTTAGCACAATCACTCATAGTGATGCGAACGGGGCTTGAGTCTTATCTCGACCAACTTCCTGTAGGTACTACGAATTCTAATATCTTATTACATCCAAACAACCTGACTGCCCATTGTGTTAGGTGAGGCTTAAGGACAATACACCCACAGTACAATCCAACTATAAATTTGTATACCTAAGTGCAATTATGTTTTACTAAGCTATCAAAACGCTTTCCTTAAGTTCGTTTAGGTGAAATTGTACCATAGACCAGGGTTTCATTTAAAAAATGCAATAAAATACGGTAATGATGAGGTATTGTTGCAAAATTATATGGATTAAGCCTCATCTTACATTGCAGAATGTGCAGTAGGTATATCGCCGAGTATGTGTGATACCTACATTTCTGTTAGATCTATTTCTGCTCCATACCTTCTGTTCAATACTTACCTACAGGTTTTGTAATATTTTGCTGTTATTTAAATTTGAGATCTAAATGACTGTACCTACCTACGCCTAAGTCATTTGAAGTCAAAAGTTAATAACAAACAACACAAGTCTATAACAAGTAATCGATACGAGCTTCTAAGTGGCACATACAACATATTCTTAAGCCTCACCTTGCACGTTAAGTCAACAACCATAATCGTCCTACTGCTGTGGTATCACATCCAATGTCTACCTCGAAATGCTTACCCCATAGGAATGATTCGTGCAAACTAATGAAATGAACGATGTCTTTACAATCTAAGTTATAGCAAAAAATATTGCCTTTTATGCCTATTTTAATTTAAAACATTGCATAAATAGGCGAACAGTTTTTAAAAGTACATACAACAATATCTTATTTGTTTCCAAAACACAATGTAAAAAGCTTTACGCCGCAACAACATCAAAATATCATTATTTTTAATTTTATTAATATTTACTATATATATATACACCAATTTATTGCGATTATAACGAGGGCAATAATTTTGGGTAAGGAACATACCTATCAGTCAAAAAAATTTAATTAAATCTTAACTAACAACTATTTCATCGCCCTCGAGTTATTATTTAAGGAATTTATGTAACACAAATAAAGTCTTCAATTTTTTTTTGATAACATTGAGGATTGGTGAAAGGAACAAAATAATTTACAACTGTCACATTTATGGGACATGTACATTAATTGTGTTTAAAGTCTCGATGAGACTGCTTCAGTATTCAAACGTGGTTGACGTGGGCACCACCTCCAGCACCATTTGTAATAAAACTGTTATTTTATCTGAAATATATAAAACTTTGTATAAATATATTATTTCGATAATTAGTTAATTTTAAATCGAGTTCATTCTAAAGTTAGTTTAGGTATTTATTTTAGTTCCTAATAGTACAAAACAATTGTTTATTTTTAAAATTTACTGTTCTAATTTAATACATTATCAAACATTTCTAAATCTTGTTTATTTTTATTGGAGCATATCACGTTGTGGGAATCAATGAAGAGTCTGGAGTTGTCTAAAATATTGATTAATAATGTATTTATAGACCTAAAATGGCTCAAGACTACATAGGCCCTCGATAAATGCGTGAACTCGATTCAACCAAACATTTTAAATCCTGCTAGAGCCTGAATGGCCATTAAATACACAAGTGGTAAACCTTTTACCCATACCATTACTTTGATTGTTCACTTACTTAAGCCATTATCCTCTCTCTAAGCCCTAAGGTTGAGTGCAAATAAAAACTAATGAACAAACTTAACAACCTCTGATTGACTGAGGTATTAAGTGTGCAGTATCAATAGCGGTAGCTCGTGCCCGCATTTAATTGGCTGGAACAGGTTGTTCTTTGTACTAAAGGTCGTCTAGTGGTGAACTTTTAACCATAATTAATAAGTTAGACTTCATATAATTTTTTAAATGTATTTCGTTGACCTCATGGATTCTTAATAGCGGCATTTCAAAAACGTAATAACTCGGCTATTAATTGTATTTCATTTACGAACGTCAAAAAACAGTCGACGTCCCATCTTCCAAGCACAGCTGGTAATGCCGGCGCTGCTGCTGCATCCACAGAAACCCTCAAACGCCGTAAATACATAAAAATAGTAGAAAATTAAATTTTTGAACCGTTTGGGGTCATGGGGTCCTTGGTCCGGATGTCTTAATAACAGCAGTTCCCGGATCCCTCCTATTACAGGCGCAGAGTGGCACACCGTATGTATTTAGTCGGTCCGATTCCGAATCACCACCCCGCCGTAAACCCCGGTTTGGTGACGGCCCGAGGGGGTTTCCACACGTAAAAAAAAAGAAAGGGTCATGGGGTGCTCGTGCTATGTATAAACAACTAACTACACACACACTTCTCGTGATCAGAAGGCCGGCCTTTTTCTAGCACAGAGAATTAGCATTGCCATTCAATGTGGCAATGCTGCCAGTCTTCTAGGAACGTAATTGACTACTCATTAACTGATAAGTGAATATATTTTCTTTTTATTGAAAATCAAAGGCACTGTGAATATGGACGATAACAATAATAAAGTTGTTTATGTTTATGCGGTAAATATCGTCAATTTTCATACGTATGCAAAATAATAAAATCATAATTAATTTTATTACAAATAAGTGCCACTTTTTTGTTTGTCTATAACATTCTCGTGTCACAATGTTAGTTACCATACTCCTAAGAAATGGCTGGACCGATTTTTATGAAATTTTGTGTGCACATCGGGTAGGTCTGAGAATCGGCCAACATCTATTTTTCATACCCCTAAATGACAAGGGGACCCACCCCTAAATTTTTTTTTCAATTTTTTTTTAAAATAATGTATAGGGCAAAACAACGTTTGCCGTCAGCTAGTATATTTTCAGTCTTGATATTACAGTTTTTAAGTGTATAATTTAGATTTGGTTTAATTTTGATCGTTTAACATTATTTCTAAAGTGAAGCAGTAATAATAGCGTTTAATTAACGTCTTACCCATAAACGGCAGCGAGAACCCCCATTTGACGAAGGGTACGTAGACCACAAGACCGGCGAGTATGAACGCAGCCGCATACAAGTACTCCCACTGAGGTTTGTCGACGATGGGAGCCACTACCAAGTAGGTTGACACAACCAGCACCAGTATCGGTATTATTATCGGCACCTGCATATGAAAATTTTATCATATCTCAACTATAATTTTTGTATGGAGTGATAATTCAACTGTATGCGCTATAGTTTACGTTCGGATTGAAACGCGAAAGGGTGTGCGCAACTAGCGATAAAACTTATATACCTACACGAATTTAAAACCTAAAATGGTTGTTAAAAAATGCTTTAAATGTAACAAAAACATTACTAAAAGAGTGCCTGGACTGGAGTGTAGCAGATGTGAAGTGTGTGTGCATGCTGATCCTGCTTGTTCAAAACTATCCAATAAGCAGCTGAAGACCCTTAAGAACTCGCCCGGCATAGAGTAGAGCTGTGAAGATTGCCTTAGCAATATTTCTCGTAGATCATCATTTATTATTCCCGAAGACGACGATGAAGATGAGGATAGCGAACCGGATCGCAATGGAAAAACCCAAATTATCGATGCAAAAAAAACTAGTTGAAGATATTAGTAGAGAAGTGAAAAAAACATTTCGTGAAGAGATGAGGAATCTGGAGAATTCACTCGATTTTCTTAGTGAGCAACTTACCAATATGGAGCAATCGCTAAAAAAACAAGACAATAAGATCAAAGAGCTCGAAAATAAGAACAGCGATCTACTAAATAAAAATAAAAACTTAGAACTGAGGGTATCTGTATTGGAACAAAGTGTAAACGATTTTGAACAAAGGACTCTCTCTAGCTCGCTGGAAATAACAGGATTACCAGAAATTCCACCTAAAGAAATAAATACAATAATTGAAACTCTTGTCACCAAACTGAATCTGGACAAAAATGGAATACAGTCAACGCAACGGATGCAAGGATCAAAGGCGAAACCAGGACCTATTCTTGTGGAACTGAAGTCAAAAAATCTGCAACAACAGTATATTGAGGCCAGCAAGGAAAAGTATCTAACCGTAGGAATGATTCTACCAGACGTCCCACAAGACAAGGCAGATGCACGTATTTTTATTAGAGAAGCGCTCACTAAACATCAGAAAACCCTCCTCTATCACGCTAAGGACCAGCTATTAAATAAATCTTGTAAATATGTATGGTGTAAAAATGGGAAGGTATGTGCCCGTAAAACCGATAACAGTAAAATATTTTATATCCGCACCATGCTTGATATCGGTCATATACATAAACAAACGGCAACTAAAACTACTGAACGAAACAAGTCATCATTATCTTCCGAAATACTATAAAAAAACATTATTTATTTTGCTTATTAAGACCGTTCTATATAATCAGATAATATGGATATACGAATAAACGAAATCCGTAATTGTATTTCACCTAATACTTTTTTCCAACAACTACCTCCTAAAAGTTTTGTGAGTTTCTCATGTCTTCATTTCAACATTAGATCACTTATAAAAAATTTCGCTAAACTGCAAGAAGTAATACATAACTGCACTTATCCGCTAGATATAATAGTAATAACGGAGGCTGGTATACCTGACAGTATTGTTAATTTGTATAGATTGCCAGGCTATAATCTGCACTCACGACTACGAGACAATAAACGGGGAGTTGGAATTATAATCTATGTACGTAGTTATCTAAAATTCACCATTATCCAACATAAAACTAATACATTCGAAAGTCTTGTTGGGACGATCAAATTACATTCAAAATATAATATAGTCGTGTGTGCAGTATATAGACCACCATCCTCAAACAAAAATCTGTTTGTTAGCGAACTAAGTAAACTTATTTCTAAGTTCGAATTGAAACAGAACTTATTGTTGATCGGTGACACTAATATCGACCTGAAAGCTAGATCGTCATACAGGGATGCATATATCGAAGCACTCGGCGAGCGCGGTCTTATGTGTGGCATAACAGACTACACTAGAATTTAATATAAACAAAACGTTATCACTAAATCTTGTATAGACCACATTTTTGCTCGCTTCCCCACATTATGTCCGCACTCGGCGGTGCTCGATATTGTACTGGCCGATCACAGAGGCATAATATTCGCCTGCATGGACGAATCTCCAACTGTCTCTAAGCGTATACAGGATGTACCGAAATACATGGTTGATTATGATATTTTTTATAAAACGCTTAAAAATGTAGACTGGTCGCAATCCCATTACATGGATTCAGCTGACGAAATCCTTAATTTTATATATAATTCTTTCCAAAATGCTAAAGCGGCTGCAACACATGGTAAAACTTGTAAATCATCCAGACCTATTGCGAAACGATTTAATGCTCCTTGGATAGACGCTAATGTTACCCTATTATGTAATAAACGGAATAAAATACACAATAACTGGAAAAATTGCCCAGGAGATCCAAAATTAAAATTAGAATATAATAAAATACGGAATAAAGTTAATAAAGTCATCGAAATTAAAAAGAATACATATTATTTAAAGCAAATAAGTAGCAATTTTAATAATATTAAAAAAGTGTACAGTATTGTCAACCAAATGTTGGGCAGGGTAACCTTATCTATTGATGAGGCTATCATGAAGGCATTTGACACACAGGGACTCACGCCCAAAATTATTGCCGATAACTTCGCGCATAACTTTAATATAACAATAAAAAACATACTTCCTAATTGCAAATTAAAGTTAATACATCAAGGGTGTCGTAAGAGCCGACTACGGGAAAAAACTACGCATAACAACATCACTGCACAGAGAAGGAAAACTTGACACAAACCCTATACCAACCCGTCTGGCCAGCGAGGTATAGTAGGCTAAAACCTCCTTCCTAAGGAGAGGCCTATGTCCAGCAGTGGACTGGTAAAGGCTGTTGATGTGATGTGATGTGATGTGACATCAAAATAATTTAAACAAATCACTAGATACCAGTATTTTATTTAAGAAAGCTACCCCAAATGATGTCCGCAAAATCATCAAAACATTAAATACTAGAAAGGCACCGGGCACAGACAATATTACGGTTGCAGACATTAAACATATAGAAAACTATGTTGCTCCAACTATTTCAGATCTAATTAATCAGAGCATTAGAACTGGTTCCTACCCTAATAAACTAAAAGAAGGTTGTGTCCGACCATTGCATAAAAAGGGAAGAAAAGATGAGTACGGAAACTATAGGCCTATTACGATACTTTCTTCAATAGACAAAATTGTGGAAAAATACGTATGTGATCAGATACATAGTTTTTATAGGAAACATTCGGTAATTACTCCTCACCAGTACGGATTTCAATCAGGTAAGAGTACAACAAGTCTATTATCAAAATTCACAGACGATATCAACACACACCTAAATGAGAAAAGACAAGTGTTAACTCTTTTCATCGACTTTTCACGTGCCTTTGATACGCTGGTACATGAACAGATAATAGACAGGCTAGACAATTGTGGGATTCGTGGTCCTTTGCTAAATTGGTGTCAAAATTACTTGAAAGATCGAACATTTTCAGTTAAAGTGAATAACGAATATAGCAAAACAGTGTCGGTTACGGAGGGAACGGCGCAGGGTTCGGTGCTTGGACCGCTGCTGTTTTTATCCTACGTCAACGATATGTGTAATTGCATTGTCAATAGTACATGCTATCAGTTCGCGGATGATACTTGCCTTGTTATTGGAAATAAAAATCCACAAGCGGCATGTGATCTTCTGCAGTCTGACCTAAATGTCCTAACAAAATGGTGTCATGATACAGGACTTGTACTAAACGCTAGCAAAACAAAATTAATGATCATCAAATCTCCGTATGTTAAACAGTTGCACATCAAAAACCTAATCGCACACGATCATAGTTGCTTACATACTAAAAGTACTACATGTTGCTGTCCACAGATTGAAATAGTTGAGAAATATACATACCTTGGAATTGTAATAGATAATAAATTTCACTGGAGTCAACATATTGAGTATGTATGTACAAAATTAAGACAATTTCTAGCAAATATTACAATTCTTAACAACCGTATTCCATTTAAAGTAAAATTGCTGTTATTTAATGCACTTGCACAGTCTCACATTCAATATGGACTTAGCAGCTATGGCCGGACTTACAAAACATACCTGGACCAGATTTATAATTTACAAGTAAAGATCCTTAAAACTATTGTTTCTAATAATATAAAATCCAAATTCCAAGACAATCCCAATGGTCTTTTCAAACACTGCAAAAGTTTACCGATACATAAACAAGTATGTCGACGCGCAATAATCTCGATTTGATTATCAATTAATTTTAATCAATTAATTTAACTAGTAAATTAAGATGTTAAGATTACAGATAGTGTTTGCATACTTTTAGGTCAAACTAGCAGTTGATTGATTTGTTACGAGTCGAGGGTAGTTATTTGTTACTGTTTCCATTACTTGTAACTGTTTATAGATTTAATAGATAAGCGTACTCTTATTTCATATCTCGATTTATGACAAACAACCAAAGGTTTGTTTGGTTATTTTGTTTAATATTTACTTTAGTTCAAACATTTTGTAATTATGACGGTATACAGAAAAAGTGTATTCAGATTCTATTTAAAACGCAACAACCCGCGTATAAGGGCATTCTCGTATTGGACTTGGAGGAAGCAAGAGCTCTTGTGAGTACTATTACTGTTATTTAGATTGTTAACCTGTGTCACCAATAAATTATATTGTGTTTTGTACTAAAGGTGTTTTTATCATTTGCAATGAGTGTAAATAGTAATTGTGGTGACGTCAGCACTGCTGACGTCACTCCTCCTAAAAACCCGGCTGAGCTAAATGCGTCGTTATCAGAAGTGGGATATACAGAACCTACTTCTGCTCCGTCATCTGGCATAAATAATGAATACAGTACTGCGTCTGTGAGCGGGGTGCCAGCCGAGTTTTTTTCGCAGATGTTGCAAGTGATGAAACATATGTCAGATCGTGTCTCAACGCAATCTGAAAAAGTGAAAATTAGTGATGTGTTTTTACCGTCGTACGATCCCGACACTAACATAGGGATACGAGAGTGGTGTCAACATGTAAGTACTGCAATGGAAACCTATAACCTGAGCGACTACGATGTC